ACGCCGCGTGGATCACCCAGCCCTGCACGATGGCGGCGCTCCGATCGCACAGGATGGTTCGATATATCGGCCATTTCCTATGAGATGGCCTGTGAGACGGATGGTCGATTGAAAGAGTCACCATGTCTGTGCCCCACCCCCTGGGGGGCAGAGCCCGAAGTGCAAGTCGAGATGCTCCCCAGAGACGCGTGCGCCTTGAGGGCCGCGCACATCCTGGCAAGAGAGTGATCGGAGAATGCGGTGTGTGTGGCGATGGGGGAATGCAGCCTGCGGTTTGCCCCAAGCGCCAAGGCGGCACTGCGACATCTTTTGCAATTCTGGGCCACAGGCGGCGTTCAACCAGGAACGCCCTCGCCGCGGCCGCCACCGAGGCGGTCGCCTAGGGGTGCGTCGGGCAGCGCGCGCTGTATCGGTCGCGCAGCCCGGCACGGCGTTTGCCCGTGGTTCAGGGTCCTGGCGGCGTCGGGCGCTGCTCCATGGGGGAGCAACAAGCGGGGCATAAGAAACCCAGACGTTTTGAATCCCACCAGCCCTCTGGGCTGGTCTAGCGGGATCATTTGATTCCTCTTTCAAAAAAACCCTCTTCCCCTTCGGGAAAGGGTTTATCACTGTTCCCTATCAATAAACACCCCCTCCCCCAGGCGACTGGGGGCCAACCCGAGTCCATGCCGACACCCCCCCACCATCCTTTGTAAAAAACACAGTTTGCCTCCAAATTCGGAACATGCGCAGCCAACCCGATGCGGCCCCTCCCCACCATCCCTGTCAACAAACAATACAGAGTACACTTGGCGGCGGCGGCGGCGGCTGCGGCGGCTGCGGCGGCGGCGGCGGCGGCTGCGGCGGCTGCGGCGGCGGCGACGGCGGCGGCGGCGGCGGGGGCGGGGGCGCGGCGGCGGCGGCTGCGCGGCGGCGGCGGGCGGTGGCGGCAGCGGCTGTGCGGCTGCGGCGGCGGTTGCGCAGCGGGCGGCGGCGGCTGCGGCGGCGGCGGCGGCTGCGGCGGCGGCGGCGACGGCAGGCGGCGGCGGCGGCGGCGGCGGCGGCGGCGGCGGCGGGGGCGGCGGGCGGCAGCGGCAGCGGCGGCGGCGGGCAGCGGCGGCGGCGGGCGGCGGCGGCGGCGGCGGCGGAGGCGGCGGCGACGACGGCGGCGGCTTGGCCCCCAGTAGCTGCCCATCCAAAAACGACTGCTGAATATGCTGAGGCTCGGGCCAGACTCGGGTGCTACGTATGTGTTGGGAGGGCGGGTGGGGGTGCGCGGGACGGCTTGCGGGCGGGGAGGGGGTAACTTGACCCCTCCCCCTACCCCCTCCCCTGGACTTGTTGTGGGGGGTTCGAGGGTCGTTGAGGACCCTTTTCCGGCCCCTGGGAAGGCCGATGTTTGACACCCCTCACGAGGATCGTGGCCCCCGAGGGGGGGGGCCTCGATCGGGAACCTCCCTCCTTTGATCGATAGCCTCGAAGATGGCCCCAAGAGGCGCGCCAGGGCTCCCAAGAGAGCCCCAAGAGGGCCCCGAGAGGGCCCCGAGAGGGTCCCAAGAGGGCCCCAAGAGGCACCCGAGAGGCCCCCAAGAGGCCCCCGAGCGGCCTCAGAGAGCCCAAGATGACCTCCAAGATGGCTCAGATAGCCTAAGCTGGCTCGAGATGGCCCCCAAGATGCCCCAAACGGCCCCGAGACCGCTCCAAGAGCGCTCCAAGAGAGCCCAAAGAAGCGGGTTGCCGGCTCCTGAAGGGGGGAGCTGAGTTGGGGACCCCCTCGTCCTGTAATCGATGGCCTCCAAGATGACCCCAAGAAGCCTTCCAGGGTGACCAAGAGGGTTCCAAAATTGCCCCCAAAACTCCCAGAGAGCACCATCAGCAGCAGCAGCCGCAAGAATACCTCTAGATGGTTCCATGAATCCTCGTCCGCGTCGTCCTCATCCTAGTCCTCGTCCTCGTCGTCCTCGTCCTCATCCGCGTCCTCGTCTCCCTATTCCTCCTCGTCCTCATCCTCCTCCTGCTCCTCCTCCTCCTATTCCCCTCGCCCCCACGCGGCCCCCAGGGATGGCCCGAAGAGGCCTTCCAAGGCCACCCCCTTGCTCCCAGAGATCTCTCGGTTCACCCTGGTTGCTCGTTTTGTTTCCCTAGATGTGTCTCTTCATCCCTTTTCCCGTCAGCTCTCATGGGCAGGGTTTCTGAATGGGCTGGCGGGGATACTTTGGTCAACAGGCTCGCGAGGCGGGTCGAAAGCCGTCCAAACACTAGTCGGGCCGCGACTAAGCAGCAGGAAAAAAAAGGCAAGCGAAGCAAGCGAGCGGGCAGCCAGCTGGTGGGGATACTTTTTTTGTCGGCGGTTCCAAGGCGACGGTCAGGGAGCGGAAGCGGCGTCCGGGATGCGGAACGGTGCGAATTTGCGAACAAAGCCGCCAGTGTCGGCGGGCGAGTTCGCACCTGCACATCGAGCTCAGGTGGGGATACATTTTTGTTGGTTGGCGGCTCCTAGGCGACCGCCAAGGAGCGAGAGCAACCAGGTGGGAATACGCGAAACATGAAGAATTTTCAATGCGGGGGCCCCAAAATTGGGGGCCACTTCTGGTGACCGGTTTTTCGTCCAGGGCGCTCCCAGGAACCAGCGGGGGGGGGGGGGGGGTCAAACGCCGAAAACAAGCAAAACCTCCGTCTGGATGTTTTGCAAAAACGTTGGAGGTCTGAGCAGGTGCACATCTTGCGCACCTTCGGCACCACAGAGGCATCTGATGGGTTCCTTCAGGGCCACTCACCCTGCCCCGATCCCCCCCCCCCATTCGAGATGCCCCTCTTGGGCTCCTTCAGGCCCCCCCACCTGCAACCCTCGCCCCCCCCTCTCAGTTGTCGCCCCCCCGCCACGACACACCCAGGGCGGGCAGCGCCGAAAGACTCCAGGCGGGCCAAGGGCCGAAAACGACCTCCTCCTCCTCCTCCTCCTCCTCCTCCTCCTCCTCCTCCTCCTCCTCCTCCTCCTCCTCCTCCTCCTCCTCCTCGTCCTCTTCCTCCTCCTCGCACGCGCGCGGCACAGGGAAAGCAGCTCTCGCGTCGTACGACGCAGGCTGAGCCCGAGAGCTCGCAGCCGCTCCCCTGGTGCTCGGGAGCGGGCCCGATCCGCCCCCTGGTGCTCGGGAGCGGGCCCGATCCGCCGCCGCCGCCGCCGCCGCCGCCGCCGCCGCCGCCGCCGCCGCCGCCGCCGTCGTCGTCGTCGTCGTCGTCGTCGTCGTCGTCGTCGTCGTCGTCGTCGGCGGCGGCGGCGGCGGCGGCGGCGGCGGCGGCGGGGCAACCTGCCTGCAGCGGGCCGCCGTGGCCGCTGCGCCGCAGGCCTGCGACCCAGCGCAACCAGAGCGGCGAGCCGCAGAAGGGGAGCATGGTGGCCTCCGCTCTGGGCTGAGTGCCAACGATAGGGTGGAAGGACACAATCAGTGGGCCTCCCCCCCCCGGCTCCCCCAGAATCAGAGCTGGCACGCGCGGGGAAGGCCGCGGTCGAGATGCACTTCGCTCAAAACCCACGGCCAACACTGAGCACTGATGGGGGGGGGCATGGGCAGAGGAATGCGGCACGAGTGTTCCCTCCTATCTTCCGAGGCCCGCAGAGCGAGAGAGCCCGCTGCGGCACGAGCGCTCGCTACAAATTTCCTTCCGAGGCCTCTAGGCTCCAGGGGGGCGCTGGCTCAGGGCGACAGGTGCAAAAGTGAAACGGCGCAGGGGCCCGCAGAGCGGGAGAGCCCGCTGCGGCGCGACGCCGGGCCGCGAGCTGCTGGCTCGGGGGGGGGGGGGGGGGACACCGACCTTGCCATCGTCGCCGCGCCGCGCCTCCTGGGGCGCCGCCGCGCCGCCCGAGGAGGCGCGACACAGGCCGTGGCTCGCCACATGCCGGAGGCACGGCTCCCGACAGGCGGGGCCCTCGCCCTCCGCCGGGGATCGCGGCCCCGACGCCCACCGGGCGCAGGCGATGCGGGCCCCAAGAGGATGCACCACCACTACACTGGGTTTCTTCGTAAGCGGGGGGGTACCCCCCGACGAGGAAGTGTCAGATCACAACCGGCCGGGTGAGATCCCAACGGCACAGGTCAGATCACAACAGCCAAGCACAGCTGGGACGGGTGAGATCCCAACCGCTCCAGGGGAAGTCTTCGGGCATCTGGGAGTCTCTGAAAGATTCTGAAAGATTCTGAACGATTCCGAGAGACGCATAAAGATTCTGCAACATTCTGCAACATTCTGAGACTTCTTGAGAGATTCTGAAAGATTCTGAAAGATTCGGGTAATTTCTGCGAGATTCTGAAGATTGTGATAGCCTCTGAGAGATTCTCAGAGTCTGATTGATTTTGAGACATCCTGGAAGATTCTGAAAGATTCCGAAAGATTCTAAAAGATTCTGGAAGATCCGGGAACTTGAAGCATTATTAGGCATCCCTCCGTATCCTGAGGAATCCTTGGCATGGCTGAGGGATCCACAGGAATCCATAGGACTCAGTTTAGGAATCCCTGGGCATACCTGGTGACACCTGGGAATCTTTAGGGACCCACAGGAGGGAATCATGAGGAATCTGGAGCCCTCCCCCCATAGGAATCCATAACGGAACCCATAGGGAAACCCCAGGGATCTTGAGGAATCCCGAAGAATCCTTAGGGATCCTTAGGATCCGTAGGAACCCCAAGGAATCCCTGGGAACCCCAGGGCCTCGCTGGAAATCTTTCGGAGTCCTTATGGGGTCCCTAAGAATCCTCCGGAATCTTGGTAAATACACGTTTTAGGAATGCTGGAGAATCCCACACGTATCCATAGGAATCCTTTTGAGGAATGCTGAAGAGACCCCGGAGGAATCCTTAGGAATCCGTATCACTGCGACTACTTCTACTACTACTACTACTACTACTACTACTACTACTACTACTACTACTACTACTACTACTACTACTACTACTACTACTACTACTACAACTACTACTACTACTACTACTACTACTACTACTACTACTACTCACTACTACTA